CCCACGTAGCTGGGATTACAGGCGCCCGCCACCATGCCCAGCTTTTTTGTATTCTCAGTAGAGATGGGGTTTCAAGCTGGTCTCAAACTCTTGACCTCATGATCCTCCCGCCTTGGCCTCCCAAGTGCTGGGATTACAAGTGTGAGCCACTGTACCTGGTCAATTTTAAAATTTTTATTTTCAGCTGGACTCAGTGTCCTATGCCTGTTATTCCAGCACTTTCTTTTTTCTTTTTCTTTTTCTTTTTTTTTTTTTGAGACTGAGTTTCACTCTTGTTGCCCAGGCTAGAGTGCAATGGCATGATCTCAGCTCACTGCAACCTCTGCCTCCCTGGTTCAAGCGATTCTCCTGCCTCAGCCTCCCGAGTAGCTGAGATTACGGGCGCACACCACCATGCCCAGCTAATTTTGTATTTTTAGTAGAGACAGGGTTTCACCATGTTGGTCAGGCTGGTCTCGAACTCCTGACCTCGGGTGATCCACCCGCCTCAGCCTCTTAAAGTGCTGGGATTATAGGCGTGAGTCACTGTGCCCAGCCAATCCCAGCTACTTGGGAGGCTGAGGCAGGAGAATCACTTAAACCCGGGAGGTGGAGGTTGCAGTGAGCCAAGGTGGCGCCATTGCACTCCAGCCTGGGCAACGAGAGCGAAACTCCGTCTCAAAAGAAAAAAAATTTTTTTCATTATTTTCTTCCCAGCCTGGCTTTTGGTGGGTTGTCCCTGTATCTGTTTAACTTAGTTGTCAGCCAGTGATTTGGGCAGAGGTTCTCAAATACTTTCAGCCCCTGAGGCTTTTACCCTATCCTGATCTACTTACAGTCAAATGCTCTACTGCTGAGCTATACCCGCCCCCGCCCGGTCAATTTGTATGTGGGTTTGGAGAAACTCTAAAAAATTGCAACTGGCTCTAAAGTCTCCTTTGGTTTTCAGTTTTTCCTGGTTTTCTTAGGTATAATTTCCTAGTCAGTGATGGTCATGTGAAGAGCTTAATCTCAGCCTTTCTATGGCTCTGTTTCAGGATTTTTCCATTAAATCTCTGGATGTTCTGCCCATCTAACAAGGACCACTGCCAAAGCTATTCATTTCCATCCACATTCACAACTTTAGCTGGCAGATCCGTGAATTTTCTTCCTCACCCCAAATTGAGTCCACCCCCTAGAGCAGCAGAACTGCTGATTTTCATAGCTGGCCCCATGCTGGGAAAACTAGCATTGTCACCACCTGACTATGCTGTAAGCAGTGGCGATAGAGGGGTAGAAGGATGGCAGGATCCTATGCTAGAAAGCTTACTATTTTTACCTGAATCTCTAGCAGATTTTTCAAGAATCTGTACTTCTCAGTTTGTTTGATTTACACTGTATTAAAATAGTTCTTTTTGACAATTTTAATTTTTAACTTTTGCATTGTGGTGAGGAATTGCCTACCACTTCATGCTGTGAATACAAGAATTTCCACACCTGTAATCCCAGCACTTTGGGAGGCCGAGGTGGGCAGATCACCTTAGATCAGGAGTTCAAGACCACCCTGGCCAACATGGTGAAACCCTGTCTCTACTAAAAGTACAAAAATTAGCTGGGTGCGATGGTACAAGCCTGTAATCGCAGCTACTTGGTAGGCTGAGGCAGGAGAATTGCTTGAACTCAGGAGGTGGTGAGACCAGATCACACCATTGCACTCCAGCCTGGGCAACAGAGCAAGACTCCGTCTAAAAAAACAAAAAAACAAGTACAATGGAGAATTTGGTCTACTTATTTTTACATCCAAGGGGTTGGGCATATAAACTCTGATTATAATGAATAGTTCAGTAGAACAAATCTTATTTTCCATAGTCTCCTGTGAGTATATGATTCCATCAGTTGAGTGGAACAGTTTTCACCACGATGCTTAAATTCTGCTTCAACTCCCTCCTTCCCACTACTCTATTCCCCTGGGTCTCGTCAGACACTCCTAAGTCAAACAGGTCATGCAGCAGATAAGTGAAGAAAGTAGGCAGGTTAAGTGGGTAGGTTTGAGTTCTGTTTAGGAGGTGGTGAGTGAAGATGGAGCTTAGGACCTCTCTGATTGGGCAGTACTTGTTCCTAATCTTTATGCTAGGGCCTGGGCAGTTACCCTTAATAGATTGAAAGGTGCTTGGGATAGGGGATGATAGAGGATACCAGATCCATAGATTATATAACCTTGATAGTGCCCATAACTCACTATGTGAGCTTGACAAGCTCCATAACCCTGATGCACAGTTTTTCAGAAGGGAGTTTGTGTAGCGATCTTGCTGGGTCCTCCTAACTCAATATCCCTTCATCATAGGGCTTTAGTCTGCCCTCCTAGGGATTAATTCCTTTCTAGTCATTTATTCCATAGTTATTTACTGTATGTTGAGAACCTTTACCAAGAATTGGACACAGGGGTAGACGTGAAGACTTTCCAAGCCTGGCACATTCACTGGGTAGAGGCCTTGTTTTCGTGTCTGAACTTAGCCTGATATACTAGCTGCTCAGTGAGTATGTATTACATGAACAATGAGTATGTATTACATGAGCAAATATCCTATTCCTATATACTAGCAAGCAGGATTCTTGTGCTACATATGGTCTATCAGATTTTCATCGCAACAAAACAATGTAAACGTCTTATGGATTTTGATTTTTTTTTTTTTTTTTTTGAGATGGAGTTTCGTTCTTGTCGCCCACGCTGGAGTGCAATGGCATGATCTTGGCCCACAGCAACCTCCGTCTCCTGGGTTCAAGCGACTCTCCTGCCTCAGCCTCCTGAGTAGCTGGGATTACAGGCATGCGCCACCACGCCTGGCTAATTTTGTATTTTTAGTAGAGATAGGGTTTCTCCATGTTGGTCAGGCTGGTTTTGAACTCCCACCTCAGGTGATCCTCCCACCTTGGCCTCCCAAAGTGCTATGATTACAGGCATGAGCCACTGCGCCTGGCAGGATTTTGACTTTCTTAAGGTCTGCAGCTGGTTTCCTGTTTTACCTGTGGAACCCTGCAAAAATGAATTTTAGACTATCACAATTTAAATATGTGACTTTCGGCCGGGCGCGGTGGCTCACGCCTGTAATTCCAGCACTTTGGGAGGCCGAGGTAGGCGGATCATGAGGTCAGGAGATCGAGACCATCTTGGCTAACACGGTGAAGCCCCATCTCTACTAAAAATACAAAATAAATAGTCTGTTTGGAGTTCGGCTCGTGTGTGCTGAGTATTGGCATGACCCTGGAGGTGGAGCTTGCAGTGAGGCCGAGATCACACCACTGCGACTCCAGCCTGGGGACAGAGCCAAGATTCTCCGTCTCACACAGCAGCAAAAATAAACAAATAAAAAATAAAGTAATGACTTTTCTTGCCTGATAACCCAGCTATTCGATGAGCGAGGCGGAGCGCAGGAGGATGGCTTGAACAGGAAGTTTGAAACCAACGCTGGGCAGACCATAGCGAGACCTTGTCTCTAAAAAACGAAAAGAAGAAAAAAATTAGCCGGGGACATGTGTGGTGTGCGCCTGTTTCCACTAGTCTACTTGGGAGGCTGAGTGGGTAGGAACATTGAGGCCCAGAGTTCAGGCTGCCAATTGAGAGATGATCACACCGCTGCTCTCCAGCCTGGGTGACAGAGGAGGCCGTCTATTTTTTTTTTTTTTTTGAGAATGGAGTCTTGCTGTGTGCCAGGCTGGAGTGCAGTGGGCACAATCGTCAGCTCACTGCAGTCTCCGCCTCATGGTTCAAGCAGTTCTCCTGCCTCAGCCTCCGAGTAGCTAGGACTGCAGGGTGCCACCATGCCCAGCTAATTTTTATTTTTTTTTTTTTTTTGAGACAGAGTTCGCTCGGTCGCCCAGGCTGGAGTGCAGTGGCGCAATCTCGGCTCACTGCAAGCTCCGCCTCCCGGGTTCATGCCATTCTCCTGCCTTAGCCTCCGGAGTAGCTGGGACTAGCAGGCGCCCGCCAACCTCGCCCAGCTAGTTTTTTGTATTTTTTTAGTAGAGACGGGGTTTCACGTGTTAGCCAGGATGTCTCGATCTCCTGACCTCGTGATCTGCCCGGTCTTCGGTTTGTTTTTTCCTGCCAAAGTTGCTGGGATTTACTCAGGCTTGAGCCACCGCGCCTGGCCTAATTTTTGTATTTTTTAGTAGACATGGTGTTTCACCATGTTGGCCAGGATGGTCTCGATCTCTTGACCTCATGATCTGCCTGCCTCGGCCTCCCAAAGTGCTGGGATTACAGACGTGAGCCTGGCTGAGACCCTGTCTCTTATAATAAATGAGTGAGTGAATGAATGAATTAATTAAATTCTTTTTTATCTAAAAGCATATGGCAACAGAAGCTAACATGCAGTAGCCAGGAATTCCATTACAACTTTCATTAAACTGTAGAGGCTCTATCTTAAACTGTTGAAAGTTATTTATATCAGAAATATACTTACATAATGAATATGACACAATATATCTGTACACAAAATGGTGCTGTTGGAAATTAGATGGTTACTATGATATTGATTAATTGCTATTTTTTTTTGAACTTTTAAGTCTCAATTTATTCAGTTATTCCAATAATGTAATCAACTTGTTCAGGGATATAGGCCTCTATAGCTTGGCAGCATATATCTGACTAGTCTTTCTAGAATCTCATAAAATATACTTGACCATTGTAGCAAAGAGGCATTTAGTAATTGAAGCATTTTGAAAGAATATCTTCCTCTCAGATTCCCCCAAAAGCATTGATTGTCTATGGAAGTGTACCTTGTAGATGAGCTGAATAATTTCCTTTTATCCTGAAGTCTTTGCTTTCTTGTTGGAAAATTGGAAAACAATGTATAACTGAGTCATTGTCATTTAGACAAAATGTCTAGTTATAAAGCCTTGTAGAACACAAAGTTCTGCTTATCAGATTCTTTTAGAAGATAAGCTGTTGAGCAACAGGTCGTCTGTTGTCCCATCTCTGCTTATTCAGCTTGTTAACTGGGGAATCATTCTCTGTCCTCTCCCTTTTTTTATATTAATAGGAAACTTCCATTTTAGAAGAATACAGTATCAATTGGACTCAGAAGCTGGGAGCTGGAATTAGTGGTCCAGTTAGGTAAGCGATCCATATGAGAAACTATGGCAAAATGTTGGCATGTGCAAACTCTGAGAAGGGCCATTTGAAATACATCCTGAATTAGATACATCAAGTGTGCCAGGTTTGAGAAATTGGCTGAATTTAACAAGTACAGGTTTTTATGTTAGGCTTTTTCTCATGTATTTAGAAATTAGTTAAGAGTGACTGAGTCGCATGGTCTTTTTATAGAGTCATTTAAGATGTCGAGACTGGCCAGGCGCAGTGGCTCATGCCTGTGATCCCAGCACTTTGGGAGGCTGAGGCAGGCGGATCATGATGAGGTCAGGAGATCGATACCATCCTGGCTAACATGGTGAAACCCCGTCTCTACTAAAAATACAAAAATTAGCTAGGTGTGGTGGTGCTCGCCTGTAATCCCAGCTACTCGGGAGGCTGAGGCAGGAGAATCGCTTGAACCAGGGAGGCAGAGATTGCAGTGAGCTGAGATCATGCTACTGCACTCCAGCCTGGTCACAGAGTGAGATTCTGTCTCAAAAAAAAAAAAAAAAAATGTGGAGACTCTGGGGCCACTGTGAGAGTCACCTGTAGCCAGCTGAGGCCATTATTTGTTCATTGACCCACAGCAGCAAGTTGCTGTTGCATGACTTAGAAGCTGAGGCCTGAGCATTGGCTGCTGGGCAGAGGGGTGAGATGCTTCTTCGCCCTCACCTGCCACCCTTGGGGGCAAGTTTGTTCTGATGCACCTGGCCATATCCTTGATGAGAAGTATAAATCTCAAAGAAAAAATGTGTTAAATTAATTTTCATTCTAACATATATGATCTCTGATTGATTTTTTCCCTCCAAATCTAGAGTCTGTGTAAAGAAATCTACTCAAGAACGGTTTGCACTGAAAATTCTTCTTGATCGTCCAAAAGCTAGAAATGAGGTACGCTTTATTGCCTTGACTTAAATACTTGAAGTGCCTAAGAATTGTTCTTTTGCAAGTAAGGCGGCTTCCTAGAGAGAATACAGTGATGCATAAAAAGTTTTATGTCCAAAGTTTACTTCTCTTCCCCATTAATGCTATCATTGTAAAGTAGTCCTAGATCTGTCAAAGGCCACTGAGTCATTTCCTTTCAGCCACCTCTTGTTCTTTTAAAATTAATGTGATTCTTGTACCCTCATGTATTCAGATTTACCTCAGTTTTGCTTATTGAAAAAGATACTTAAAGGTGGAGATAAAATAGCACGAGGAAGGGTCAGGTGAATGGTGTATAAAAGTGATGCTACAGGAGGACTCTGAGGATGTTTCCAGTTTGTTTCTTCTTTTTGAAATGGAGTTTCGCTCTTGTTGCCCAGGCTGGAGTGTGATGATGCAGTCTCGGCTCACTGTAACCTCTGCCTCCTGGGTTCAAGCTTCTCCTGCCTCAGCCTCCTGAGTAGCTGGGATTACAGGCATGCGCCACCATGCATTTTTTGTATTTTTAGTAGAGGCAGGGTTTCTCCATGTTGATCAGGCTGGCCTTAACAAACTCCTGACCTCGGGTGATCCATCCGCCTCAGCCTCTCGAAGTGCTGGGATTACAGGCGTGAGCCACTGTGCCCAGCCTTTAGTTTTTAAAAATATACATTGGGTTTTTGTTTCTGTTTGAAACAGGGTCTTGCTCTGTCACCCAGGCCGGAATGCAGTGGCACAATCACGGCTCACTGCCGCCTTGACCTCCCTAGGCTCAAGTGATCCTCCTACGTCAGCCTCCTGAGTAGCTGGGACCACAGGCATTTGCCACCATGCCAGGCTAAGTTTTTTTGCATTTTTTGTAGACATGGGGTTTTGCCATGCTGCCCAGGCTGGTCTCAAACTCCTGGGCTCAAGCGATCTGCCCGCTTTGGCCTCCCAAAGTGTTGGGATTACAGGTGTGAGCCACTGACCCTGGCTATACACTGGTTTTAAATTATCTGGATATGGTAATGACATTCTAATAACATGTGCAATGAAGGACTTCTTTTGCATAAAGAGATGTGAATAATTTCTAAAATGAAATGAGATGTTTGCCAGATTTTCATTTGCAAATAAATGGAACAGTAGGAAGTAAACCTGTAGGTGAGGTTTTATTCATGGAGAAAGCCTTCTTAAGGAGATAATCTTTTGAAAACGCTGGCTTTTTACATCATTCTGGGTGATTAAGTTTTTATTGTAATTGGCTTGTATCTAGTGTGGTCAGTTTTTGGAGAGAAAATGTTGGTATCGCCTACCTATGGAAACATTTCCTCTGTTCTCTTTAAGGTACGTCTGCACATGATGTGTGCCACACACCCAAACATAGTTCAGATTATTGAAGTGTTTGCCAACAGTGTCCAGTTTCCTCATGAGTCCAGCCCTAGGTAAGACTACACAGTGTCATCATCATATGCCCATATGTAGGCCAATGTGTAGTGGAGTCATCCTCTCTTTTATGTGCTCTCTCCCCTTCCCTCTCCTTCCTCCTCCTACCCTCCCTTCCTGTGCCCTTCCTTCTCCCCCTTCCCCTCCATCTCCCTTTTTGTAATTTGGAAAATGTCAAGCATTTGTGAAAGCAGACAGAATTATGTAATGAATCCCCAAGTTCTCATGATCCATCCTCAACAGTAATCCTCTCGTGGCCAGTCTAATTTCATCTATGCCCCTACCACTCTTCAGGTCACCTGATTATTCTGATTACTTTCTCATTTCAGGAAAGCATTTAATGTGGAATTTAAACAGATTCTGTTTCAAATCAGTGAAAGGGACCCAAATATTATTCTAGGCAAAGTCTTAAAGGCTGATAAAACAAAAAGCTTTTATTATTGCTTAGTCTGACTTTCCTTTTAAAGAAAGAAATCAACATTATTCTTTCAGTTAACAAATGTTTGGCAAGCATATTTGGTGGCATTCTAAGTCTCTTTGATGAAATTCAAAATTAAATAAGGTATGGTTTTTTTGGGGAAGACTGAGATGTAAACCCATCATCATAGCAGTGCAATAGGCACTAAAGACAGGCATCCCTAAAATATTCTAAGCTTACAAAGGAGAGGAGCTGCTAACTAACTATAGTCTGGGAGGAGAGGTGTCTCACAGAGGCTGTGTGGAAGCTAGGACTTGAAGGAAGGGTAGGAATTTTCCAGATGGAAAAAGAGGATAGAATTTTAAAACTAAATGGGAAATCAAACAATTATTTTTCACAACTGTGCTCTGTTGGTGAAAGCATTTGGATGGAAGCTGGAAGCATATATGAAAGAATGGTAGCCAAAAATCACATTAAAATTTTTTTTTTTTCCAGAACATGAGAATTTTTGCTCTTAGTAACTGTGTTACCCTGGACTTAGGAAGTTGTTACACACTTTGTAGATGCAGTATCTTTAGGTCAGCTTCTTAATGTTTCAGGGTTTTTTTGTTTCTTTTTCTTTTCTTTTTTTTTTTCCTTTTTTTTTTAACTTAACAAAATCAAATGCTTTCAAACAGGGCCCGACTCTTAATTGTAATGGAGATGATGGAAGGGGGAGAGCTATTTCACAGAATCAGCCAGCACCGGCACTTTACAGAGAAGCAAGCCAGCCAAGTAACAAAGCAGGCAAGTTAACCCCAGGTACCAATCAAACTGCCAACAAAGTTGGTTAACAAGCGCAATTTCATTGGGGGGAAGAAAAGAAAACTTAAAGAAAATCTCTATTTGACTTCTCATTGCCTGCTTTGTTATGTAATCAGAAAAGATGTTTTGACAGGAGAAATGTGACCCCTTTTATACTTGGGGGTGGGGGTACTGTGTTCTTAATTGGTTGTCAACTGTTTCCTGAGGCTGCTGTGAGATTTCAATAAATTCTGGGAGGAAGGTGACCTTAACTCCTTTGTAGACTGCAGGTATCTTTAGGCATGTAGCTACCAAGTACTGGTATTGGACTTTGCGATAAAATGCTGCTGATACCACCTGAAAGATTGTATGGTATAAAAATATATTCTAAGAGAATTGTACATAAGATGCTTCCTGCATGTGAGCCACCTTTCTGTGATTTCTTCAGATTTAATAATATCCTAAGATCTTTGTAATTCTGGATTATTCCTGGTTATATTCTATTTTGACATCACATTTTATTGCTATAGAAATGATTTATGTCATGAACAATACTAGGAATCCAACTGATAATCACTTCCTGCAGAGGTGAAAAGCTAAACCCTCAAGGGTTATCTTCAGAATACCAAGCAAGCAAAGCAAAGAGAATTAGGAAGCACAGCCCAATTGCTTCTTAATAAAAAGTTCTTCCAAGTTTCCCGTGAACCTTAAGCATTTCTGGATGCCTCCTTTCTGGTAGGGAGGAACTGATACTTGGATTGCTGAGAAAATTCCATATTGAGAGTTAAAGAACAAGTAGAATCTGTTCTTTCTGTTTGATTTTAAAAATTATACCTTTAATTTTTTCAAATATTAGGATTAAAGGATGAGCTCTGATAATCTTCTATAAAATAAAACCCCTTCAAATTCACATAAACAGGCAACATTTTCAACAAGCATGATGAGCAAAATGAGTTTCCAGTATTAGTTGGAAAAACCCAGTCAGCTGGTTTCTTGACTCTCAGCTCCCTGGAGAGTGCCATTCTTGTCTGAGCCAGGCCATCCTGCCATCCTGCCAGTAGCCCTGCTATGGGGACCGCGCCTGCTGACCATTGCTCAGCTTAGATGTTTCTTCTGCAGTGCCTGTCATACCTCAGAGGAATGAAAGTGGGAGCATTTCATTTTCCCATTCCTTACAGGATTTACCCATCAGTTTATTCTGACAAAGAATTGCTGTACCATCATATTTTTCTTTCTGTTTGACAAGATACAAGTTGCAGTTAAACTAAGCTTAATCCATTCTGTTTCTTGGTATTCCAAGTTTTTCTTAATTTCTGCTTTAAAATTGAAACTGAACGCAGTCTTAATGAAGGCTTGTTTTTTTAACACCCTGAGTTCTCTACACCAGGTGTATTAAAGAGCGATCTTTTCTAAGAAGTGGCTGTTCCATTGTGTCTTTTTTCAGATAGCTTTGGCTCTGCGGCACTGCCACTTGTTAAACATTGCGCACAGAGACCTCAAGCCCGAAAATCTGCTTTTTAAGGATAACTCTTTGGTGAGAAGACTTATTTTTCTGCATTTTAGTGCTGCTACTCTTAACATAGTTCAGGAGTGGGTGTGTTTGGAGTGCTCTGAATTCATGGTGAAGAAGCTTTAGGCCAAAGTGCTTCAAACAACTTGTTTCTTCTACTCGTTCCCTTGCTAGAGACTCAGAGAAGCTGTACTACTGTACTCCCGGCATTGATAATTTTGGATGATACTGATATGTATTTGTGGGACTTATGATTTTGGATGTTATTTGGAGGACCTTTGGGAAGGGGCAGAAATCTATATGCTGTTATGTATTATCTTGAAACTTGATTGTTTCATTTGTGTTTTCCCTTTCAGCCCTGTCCCCTGCCCCATGTCCCACCAGATAAGTTGCTCTGGCTGTCACAAAGCTTAATGGCAGATATTAAGAGTGAAGTAGCCCAGACTGATGAGAGGTGAAGGGGCCCTAGGCCAAGACCTTGATGTTAGTGCTGCCCTTACAAGTTCTAAAGCAAAAATAGCTGTGTGAGTGGGTAGGAATTCCTTACTTCTGCATTACTAAGAACAGTTCCTCAGTGTGAATCATTGTCTCCAGACCCGGGGACATGTTATTTTCATAAGCTCACATCTCAGCCAGAAAGAAACTTGTTAGAGCTCAGGGTAACATGTCTTGCACCTGGATTTTCCTTTAATGTTTACTGAGCACTCTGGAGCAGTGGTTCCCTTTTTTTAAAAATTTCAGGATGCCCCAGTGAAGTTGTGTGACTTTGGATTTGCCAAGATTGACCAAGGTGACTTGATGACACCCCAGTTCACCCCTTATTATGTAGCACCCCAGGTAAGCATGTGCTGTTTCTGTCCTAAGATCTGTCACCAAGCTGCCCATAGACTTGTGTTCCTTCTGTTCTACAGCACAAGTAGGCATATATTACAGATGGGAGGGGGAGAACTTAACTTTAGAAACCTACAGATTGCTTTATTTGGTGTAGATCTTTTATTCTTTTAAAATCAACTTTAGCCAGGTGTGGTGGCTCACGCCTATAATCCCAGCACTTTGGGAGGCTGAGGCGGGCGGATCACAAGTTCAGGAGAT